CACTCCCACACCGCGGCGTGATCTGAGTCGCTAGGCACATAAGCTGCTTGGCCTTTTCTCTGTTTGTTTCGTCCCTTTTTTTTTTTTTTTTAATGTATTTATTTTTCCCCCCGGCCCTTCCCCTTATCCCTTTGTGTGTGGAAGGGATGGAGATGGGACGGACTTTTGAGGTGTCAAATTTTGTGGGGGCAGCAGATACCGCGCACTGCCACTCGGGCGTAGGAACGGCCCCGAGAAAAGGGGGTCTCCCAGGATCCAAGGTCCAGAGGCATCTTATTGAGAGCGGAAAGGGATGAGGTCCCGAGGGGGACATCGCCATTGGGGTCTGTTCAGTCAGCTTGCTGGAAAGGGACATGTGCAGGTCCCTYGGCGGATGGCTCAGTGAGCACCCTCCGGATGTGCCAAACATTCGGTGGTTGGCGGTTCGGAGTCCCGTTTGCACTCTTATAGGGGMCTGCGTGCTTAGCAGCCCCCTTGCAGTCGATGAAGGCGACGTTCCGGGCGTGGGTTTTGGGACCTTGTACTCGAGTTACGAGGGACTCTCTGAACACGCTTTGGGTGGTTTCCAGTTTGCGAGAGACGGGCGAGTTGTTCTTTGGTGGTTGAGCGAACATTTTTGCGGCGCCGTGTGGGTCCATGGTCGTCTCTCTYGGAGGGCTTCTTTCACGACAGCTCGGTCGTTGCTGGCGGCGGTCGCGGCTGTCGGGGCTTTCCTATGCCGTGGTGCCGGGTTGCGGATCGTTGCGTTCACCGTCGCTCATCGTCTTGCGATGATTGGCGCCTGATCGCCGACGGCGGTCCGGTTGGCGGTCGTTTGCAGGGTGTGGAGGCGGAGGTGCCCGTCACCGACTCTCAGCTTCGGCACCATCATCCCCTAGGTTTCGGGGAGAGCGGTTGCGGCTTTGTTGTGGTGTCGTCTTCGTGTCGGCACTCACAACGGCGCGTTCCGTTTGTGTTGAGGGGGTGCCACGACTTGGTCAGGACGCTCTGCGCTCTTCGCCATCCGAGCGGCACCATTGAGCGGTGGCGCAGGTGGCCTCGGTCCTGCACCCGCTGCTTACCATATGCGAGGGCGGAGACTTGTGGGATGCGTGATGCACCCTCCGACGGAGTCGCGAGGTTGGGCCCGTCATCCGCCCGACTTGTTGGAATGTTCGCTTGTGCCCGTCGTGTCCCCCATCCTGTGGTCTCGGTATGCTGCACACCGTGACGGATCGCGTTGCGTTGTGGTTCTGCTGCGTTTAGGTTGTGGGCTTTGAAGGCTACTGTCCTCTGTCTCCTGGGTTTCGCCTGCGTCAAGTTCTGTCGGTGGTGCCCGCGGCAACAGGCGCATGTGGATCCAGGGGGGAGGGGGTGTGTTCCTTTTGCGCCCCCGTGCACAGGTGGAGGCTTTCTGTCTGTCCGGGCGTGTTGGAAGCGTGGTGCATTCGTTTCTCTCTTCACCCGCGTTTCTCGATGAAAGATGAGGCGGTGCACTTCGCTGTCGGTACGTTTTGGGCGGGCGGTGGCATCCGGCTGTGGGCCGAAGCAGTCCGTGATTCCTTCGCGCGTGCCGTTGTTCAGATAGTGTGGTTATCTTGCGATCTCAGGGTGTGGTGTGGGCGGGTGCTCTTCTCAGCCAATCTTGTGAGCGGGTGCTGCGGGCTGTGTTGGATTGTGCGGTACCTTGCTGTTGGAGATGGCCTACGGAGGGGAAGTTCACCTGCAATTCAAACAGCCGGACTTCGCGGCGTCTCGGCAGCTCATTGCACGTTCCACGATTATTCGACGTTCTTTTGGTAGGCTGGCCGGCGTGACGTGCCTACGTGCGCCTTGGCCATCGCTCTTTGCGGCTGCTCGTTACACCCGCTACCTGGTTGATCCTGCCAGTAGTCATATGCTTGTCTCAAAGACTAAGCCATGCACGTCTAAGTGTGAACACTTTGCACAACGAAGACTATGTACCGTGCCATGAACCCCACTGTGGATATGGCGGCTGAGATGAAGATCCGTTGGATAAGAAGACAGTGGGTGAGGGAAGAAGATCTGACAAACTGTACCCAGTCAACATGGGAGTTGGCTTGCAAATTGCTCACGATGCTGCCTGATCAAAAACAGGCTGGACATCTATGGCTATCTCTACAACTTGCACAGCCAACATACCAATGGATGGCAGAGAGAAGCTCACATGATGACACTACATGTAGACATTGCCATCAACAGCCGGAAACAATACCTCATCTCTGGCTTGACTGTGGCCCTCAAAACCAAATTTGGGAATGGTGGCGAAGTCTAGGATCTGCAGTCCCGCTGAATGCATCACAGACACCGGAGGTACCGAGAGCTTCTATACTCCTCGGGCAACTGTTGGCAGGACAAACTACCACCATTCAAACAGCATATGCGGCTGACACAGTGAGAGCTGCATTTTGGACAGCAGCATGGGCAATGAGAGTGCGGGAACTGCGCACCGGTGTGCCAGGTTCCTTCCACACACTCCGTGCATGGACGCTGAAGAATCTCAAGACGTCCGTCACAGTGGATGTAACGCGCAGAAAGAACGGAGGGTGGCGTTTTCTGCGCAGTGCATGGGACCGGTACAGAGAAGTGGTGGAGATAGGCCAACAACCAGGAGAATGGCATTGGACAATGGAACTGATGGATGATGCTATACACTCTCAATCCGAGGATGATGACGGAAGTCCGGGGACAAGGGACGATACCATGCACTCTCAACCTCAGGAAGATGACCGCAGTCCTGCGACGGAGAATCAGACAAACAATCTGCCAGAGGACAGGAGCAGGCAACAAACACAGGAAGATTCTGCTGCAGATCGTCCACACGCCTCAGATAGGCGGCAGGAGGAAGAACAACCAAGTCATCAAGACCAGAGGAGGAACACAGAACAGGGGAGCATGGAGGATATTATCGCACGACTCCCGGAAGACTTGCTGGACAGTCTAGAGGAAGACCTGCTGAGCTCTCAGGAACACTTTCGGGACAGCTACTGATGACTGACATAGGTACAATGTATGATAGAATATCAGACTGTGTGAACTGTACAGTTTAATGATGAATAATAACTGACATGGTGTAATCTACAATGTATGATAGGACATTAGATGGGATATTTGAAGGATGTGTTGAGATGAAATAATAGATTGTTGTTAGAAGCTACGAATGTGTGACAAAGATTAAACAAATAGTGTAGACTGCTGGGATAAAAAGGTTTATAAAAGATACGATAGGAATGACCTTTACAATGGGAGTCTGTGTACAATACTGAAAACAGACATGATACAATGTATGCTAGGTTGCTATAGGTTGCTGAGTACAAATTACCGCATGTAGGATGAGTTTAGAACAATTAGCATTTGACTACATTGCTGGTAGGGGAGGTTTATGGGATAGGTGTAGGTCTGTGCAATGGGAGTCTGTGATATGAATGAAGACAATAATAGATCTGAAACACTAGGACCACACAACGACACAAAAGACACAGATGTTCAAACATTGGATACCGTTTCCCCCGGGGGGAGTGAGGAATGGAGGAGGAGACCTAGCACTGAACTGGGGCTCCGTAGCAGGAAACAGCGACTGGGTGCATTGAGGCCTCCCGGCTGTTTCCCCCTACGGAACACCACACGCTGAGTTCGTCCCCCCTCAGCTCTGTCGCAGGCAGTTGAGGTG